ACATCTGGTTATTTCTGTAGCTGTGGTCCTGCATCTTCAGTGTTATCAAACAACACGTCGCTGAGCTTAAGAAAGGTACTGCTTTAGTGCAGATCAATACAAGGGAAAGGACCATGGTATTTTGAGACAGTATTCAAATGCTCTTAGCCAGGGTTGGCCGAGTTAGGGAACAAAAGTCTATTCAATTTAGGGTTTTGTTTATGGCACAGCTCAGAGAGGCTTTTTTATTAAGTTCATTGACTGGATAAACTTTGACATTCAGTTACAACAGCTTTCTAAAAGTTAAGAGCACTGTGCTTTTGATCAATATTACAGCTCTCTGCCATTTCATGGAAACCATTTTCCCTTGAATGAAAATATGGTGTCCAAAATGATCACCAATCTGTTGGCTCAAAGTTGTGACACTTCAAGGAGAAATTATGATTTTTAAAGTTTTTGTTAGAATATAGCCTAAAGTAACTTAGCAGCGGAACTTGCATGCTGATACCATTTTTATGGTCATCTGAAACGCTAGTGGCCCAATTCACTGGTGATTTTATAGTAAGAAGCCAAGAGATAGACTGCAAAAATAAAGCTTCATAAATTGATCACCTTGAGAAAACAGAGGAGGTTAAACAGAGGGAAAAGGGTAAGGCATCTAACTGAATTAATATCAAAGCGAAGTGCCAAAAAAACCTCTTTCTACATAATGTTGGACTCTGTTTACATAGCAGTGGACCTAATAGTTAATTAAGTTTTTCACTTCAAATATAGTCACAATCTGCGTAAGTGTTTTGTGCCAGATGCAATAACCGATGTTGTTTAAACAAAGTGTTAGTTCATGAACATATTTTGCTCTGTTCACTTTAAAATGAATACACATTGGCTTTTGGTTCTTGACTCTAAGTTTTTCTGCAACCTGACCTGTACCTGCAATAGAAAGCTAGAGCTTCACAGCTGTAAAATGTCAATAGTTCATACACAGTAACTTCTGAAAGATAACACTTTCCATCTTTTTTATATATTATCCACAGATTTTATTCATATGCACTGGCAGGAAGTGATATAAACTATGAAAGGTTCCTTAAATGTCTACAACTGCTAAAATATTCTTTGCCTCTCTATATGAATAAGCTCAATCATAATTTCTGCATATGCAAAATCAGTTTTAAGAGTGGGATAAATTAATACGTTTAATCAGGACTAATCAACCCCCAAACATCCATGTTACAAAAATTTTAGGAAGTTAAAGATAGATAACTACCTCACCCTGATCAAAGGTATCATAATGAAAGAAGTAGGAGGAATTCTTGTCACTCAACAAAGACCATAGTTATAAAACTCGACAGAGCTGGAAGTACAGCAAACTACTATGATGGTTAAGGTCAACATGAATTAAAAATGAGTGAATCAGCAACATAGTTATAGGTTGACAAGATCAGCCCCTAAAGAAAATCTTCAGTTTGCATGGTAGAGTTTATTGCATGGTGAAGGGGTTAAAAATGGACATTGGAGGAAAGCATTCACATAGCTCCCAGTTGAGTTGAATGCTTGCCCAAGCTAATGGCCATAAACTTTAGGACGATCAAATAAAAATGTAATATCTTGATTAATAGTAAACATATTCCAATTCTATTGGCTCAATTATCCAGGGTAACTATGGATTACTACCACCATGTGTTAGCACTGCTTTCCCTTTTAAGGTATGGTATTAATCAACCACCGATGAAAATGCACACAGTTTCACAGAATCTGAAGCTGCATGAGCCAGTAAGGGTCATTCTTTTTGCTTAGTTGGGTGTCCACATATGGCTCAGGTTATTACCAAGGCCAAGGTTCAATTCCCACTGCAATACAATCGGGGCCAGCACCCTCACCTTATCCACAGTAACAAATCACAGCAGTTTGCTGTGGAATGGCGAATAATTATCAAGGACCTGCCTTCAGGCATAGAACTGATCAAGAAGGGCAATGTAACTGCTGGTGGGACTACTTTTCATTTAGGAACATGGCGTGACTAGTTGGACCAACCATGCTCTATGACTCTATAACTAATGAATAATTCCAAATTCCCAATACATTTCACTAACCCACTACTGTATCTTCAACTTTCATATCTAAAAGCGTCTATTTGTTAGATACATAATTTATCTGTTGGTTTTTGAAACTTCGTACTCAACCACTATCTGCAGGATCTAGCGACAGTTTGAGAAGGCAGCTCATCACCACCTTAAGGGGCGACTAGAAATGGACCTAGTCAGCAAAGCACATGTCCCATGAAAAGTCAACGAAAAAACAGAATTACTCAACTTAAACTTTACTCCTAACCAAAAAAGGCAAAATCAATAAAAGTTACATTACAAATAAGACTGAGATGACAAGTGAGGAACTTGGATACTCAAGTTATACAAAACCCTGGTTCGACCCCACTTTGAGAACTGAGAGGAGATCTGGATATCACACCTTAGGAAAGATATATTGGCCCTTGAGGGAGTACAACATAGGTTTAAAGAATAATACCCAGGCTTCAGGGGATAAGTTATGAGCAGAGATTACACAAATTAGGTCTGTTTTCACTAGCATTTAGAAGACTAAGGGGTAATCTGATCAAAGTCTTTAAGATATTAACAGAAAAAGGTAGAGTTGATAAACTACTTACACCGGTTGGGGATTCTAGAAGTAGGGAGCATAGTCTGAGAATTAGGACTAGACCATTTGGGATAGATGTTCGGAAGCAGGGTGGCACAAACAGCAGTGGATGCAAGATCAGTTAATTTTAAATCAGAGATAGATAATTTTTTGTTAAGCAAAGGTTATTAAGGGGTCTAAATCAAAGGCAGGTGTATGGAGTTAGGCCACAGATCAGCCATGATCTCACCGAATGGCGAAACAGGCTTGAGGAGCTAAATGACCTACCCCTGTTCCAATGTTCAAGTGAATCTTATTGATTGGTTTTGAACATATCAAATGCTATTACACCAGACACATTACAGCATTGCACTGTACAATCTGAAATAATAAATACAAACAGAAGGGTCAGAGAACTGAAATGAGTTTTACTCTTTTAACGATTTATTTTCATTGAAGTTGCAATATTTTACACTTCTTGATTTTACAGGGTTTTTGGCAATAAAGTACATGGCAAACAATACTGTTACGTAAAATTGCTAAGGTGTTGCAAGTCAAATCCCTATAAAGTAAAGGTGGACACAAATAACAATCCTGGATGTCAGTTACTGATCAAGCAAAGGTACCATGATCTGAAAATACAAGACTCTCAATTTATAACAATAAACAATAACTTATTTATTGCATTTGACACTTGGCAAACCATAATCTGAAATGCTGCACCAATGTTGGTATGTAATAAAATGTACTTTCCACTAAATGCAAGTGATGGTGAAGTGATTGGTTAATCTAAACCAATTACTGCCTCATGCAAACATAGATAAAAATTTGACTTTGCAGATTTTCCACACTTTTAAAATGATACAAACCAGAAAGGATTCCAAAAGTTTTTAAAAATAACCATCCAAGATCTGAATTAAACTGGCACTGTTCAAGTGAAAAAGAAATTCATTTTAAACAAGGGGGATCATTCTTAACTTTAGTGAGAAGCAACCTGAGATTAAGTAACATAGCCCATACCTTAGGGTTAAAAAAAAGGCACCCATTTTAAATTGAAATTTACAGTTTGGGAGCATTTTCTTCAATGAGCAAGTTGTCTTTGTACAAAACTGGAGAGGGTGATGAAAAACTAATTGGAAACTTTGTTTCAAAAGAGCCAATGCCTTTAAACATTTTTTGTTTTAACATAAATATCTTGCATAATGCTATATTTCAATGCATTTACAAAAACACTACTGCACAGAATTTTCTGCAAAGAAATGTAGTTACATACGTCATTAAAAGTGGTGTTTCAAGCACACAGACAAATTAAATCCACCTATTAGAGACTAGGATAAAGAATGTAAAATAAATCAGGCAACACTGACTGTGCATAAGAGGTTAGAGTATAAACAGAATATTTGGCGCAGTTTGAGGCATCATTTATAGGAAGGACATTTAACACAACAAGGTAAATTCAGCAAGAATTTTAAAAGCTTAGGATTCTTTTTTCACTAGACCCCGAAGGTGAGAGATCACGGTCTTGCAGTGATGGGTTGTTTTACGTTGGTTGGAAGAAAGTTTATTAAAAAGATGGCATTAATTCAATTAAATGAGAAACTGTAACAAAAACAACACTACACAGGAGTGACAAGACAGTTGAATTCTCTGTCAGAACAGCTCGTAAGAATTTATAAATTTTATTGTGAGGGAATTAGATTGTTGTTAGAAGAATATCAAGTAGTATGATTAGCAAGTAGGATGACTGGATGAGGCTAAATGGCTTGTGTAGAGGCTAACTGTACTAACTGGCTAAATGTATATACTAGGATTATGTGAAACCACTTTTCAACAAAAAGCTGTGCTGCTTAGATTCTATGTGCATGTGATTTTGAAAGCAAATTCCCATTGCTCAGACCTTTGAGTATACCAGTTTGGATGTCATGTTGAAGTTGTACAGGACACTGGTGAGTCCGCTTCTGGAGCACTGTGTACAGTTGTGGTTGCCCTGCTATATGAAGGATATTACTAAACTGGAGAACGTTCAGAAAAGATTTACCAGGATGTTGCTGGGAATGGAAGGTTTGAGTTATAAAGATAGGCTGGGACTTCTTTCACTGGAACATAGGAGGTTGAGAGATGACCTTATAGAGGTTTATAAAATCATGAGGGGCATAGATAAGGTGAAGAGCAAGAGTCTTTTCCCTAGTTTGGCGGAATTCAAAACAAGGGGGCATAGTGGAGAAAGATTTAAAAAGGACTTTTAAGGGGGAAATTTTTTTTTTTGTTTACACAGAGTGGTTCGTATGTGGAATGAACTACCAGAGGAAGTGGTAGATGCAGGTACAGTTACAACACTTAAGAGACATTTGGATAAGTACATAAATAGGAAAGGTTTGGACAGTTATGGGCCAACACAGACAAGTGGGACTAATTTAGTTTGGGAACAAGGTCAGCATGGACTAGATGGACGGAAGGGTCTGTTTCCATGCTGTATAACTCTATGACCATGACTCTTGCTTTGTGTAGCATAATGCCATTTAACAGCTAACAGTTCACATATATGGACAGAAATACAGCTAATTTCAAGATTTGCACTCCATTACACATCACAGAAAACGCGGAGAAGTTAAACAGTGTGTAGTTGAGCTGTAGTAAAGCTGGCCGCCATACCCTTTAGTACAGAGATATATTGCCCATGGACCTGGTGTTGATTAGTCAGAAACAATTAAATCTGAGGGAAACCAACTGGTTAGTGCATTATCAGAGTGTTTTGTAATCTTTTACATGTTTTATTCATTTATTCAAGAGCAAGACTTTACATAACGATTGGCTAAAATACTGACATTCTCAACTTTATTTTCTTGTAAAGTAATTTTTTTTGCTCTGAAGGGTCACTGGACCTGAAACATGAATACTGTTTTCTCTTCACACATGCTGCCAGACTTGCTGAGTTTATCCAGCAGTTTTTATTTCAGATTTTTTTTGAGAAATTATATCTCCAACGATTGTGGACAATGGTTCATTTGAAGAGATGAGAAAGCGTGTGTTTTTTTTTTTAAAAAAGGGGTCACTAAAAAGACATGGGGACTTTTTTTAAAATGACATTTCTTGTAAATCACATGGCACCAGCTAACTGCTTGGACTTTTTAAAACTGAACATCACTGCCTAGGTTCATGGCTGTGTTTTAGGTACGGTTTGGAGTTCAGTTGGGGTACTGCAACAGCACAAACTGGTTGTTTTCCCGCAGATTTAATTGTCACTCACCACCTCCATTTTCTTTAAAATATCTTACATTGTGGACACTATTTGAAACACTGCTGAGTCTATGATGCACCAAAAGTGCTTGTCACTTTGTCCACAAAATATTGAGTTTTATGCAAGATGTAACACTGAGTGTTACTTATTCCAGCTGTTTCTGGATAATCAAAGACTGAACTTAGTTCATCCATTGTCTTTCTGACAAAATCCTTTTGGAAGGTCCAGTGTTTTCTCTTGAAAAGTATCTGAATTCTCAATAATTCCTGAAGAAACTGCATCTACAAAGATCCCAGTGACAACTCCCTGTATTTAGTAACCCCTGTGTATTTGTATCATGGCACTGACTGAAAGCTATCTTGAACATTTCATACTTTCTTTCCATCAAAAAATAACATTTATTAACGAAAATTGTTTTTTTTTTTCAAAATTAATCTCTGCAGAAAAATGTTTTTCCTCTGAAATTGTGTGCATGTGTGGGATTTATTTCGAAGGGCAAATATTTACTTTTTGATATTCCCAACAGTGTTAATGAGCAGTACATCTTTGCCAAATAAGTCGTTTTCACAGTGAAATCAAGTAGTTTGTTTATTGAAGAAACCTGCCTGATGAGCCTTTTTATTTTAAACCTAATAGAGATAAAATATATAACTGGCCATATTAATGGCTTGGAGGAAGGAAGCAAATGTAATGCAAGCAAAATTGCAGACTATAGAAAAATAGGCGGAAACATAGGTTGCAAGGGGGACACAATTTACAAAGAGACAGTGATAGGTTAAGTAAGTGAGCAAAAAGTTGGCAAATGAAGTACAGGGGTCCTTGACATATGAACATCTGACTTACAAACTCTGCTAGTTAAGAACAAGATCCCATAACATTCAGGATTCAACATGCAAACATTTCTTCATACTTAGAAACAAAGAAGCAACAGCACTGTTTTGTACAGACCCCATCACCCCATGATTGGCTGAGTGCAGCCCGACATTTTCGTGAACCATGAATGCGGTGTCAGCCCTTCAACATCTCCCCAAGGTTGATATGAAGGCTAAAATAATTTCTGAAGGAATGACACAAAACACTGGCCCAACTCAATGTGCCTGGACTCGAATGCTGGGCAAACAGAGTTTTGTCAATTGCACACACCACTAGGGGTAGGGCCCAATGAGGCTGTTCAAAAACTCCCCTTTACAACTTTGTACAGATTTCTCCAGAGTACATGCCCACTTTGGTTTCAACAGGGTAGTCATCATGCCACCTAAAAGCACATCCGACAGTGCATCGAAGAAACATAAAACTATCACAATAAAGAGAAAATTGACATAAGCAAGCGATCTAAAGAAAGCAAAATGCCAATGAACATTAGAAAAGAATTAGGCCTGAGCTGTTCCACAGTTGGAACTATTTTAAAAGAGAAAGCGCATATTCTGGAACTTGGGACGAGCTCAGTGCCGATGAAGGCTAAGTAATTATTAAGCAAAGGAGTGGATTAATTACAGAAATGGAAATACTGTTAATTGCTTGGTTTGAGGATCACCATTAGCGCCATATGCTAGTTAGCCTATCGTTTATTGAAGAAAAAGCAAAAGGCTTGAATGCAGTCTTAAAGTCTAGGCTTGATGGTAAGAGTGATAGTGAAGATTTCGTTGCTAGTCAAGGTTGGTTTAATAGATTTAAAGGGAGGGCAAATTTGCATAACGTAAACACATAAGGGGAAGCTACTACTGCTGATTTTGATGCTGCAAGTGAACTTCCTGATCCACTGGCTAAAATAATTAGGGAGGTGGGGTAGAATGCTGAACAGGCATTCAACATTGATGAGATGGGACTGTTTGTAGGGAAATGCCCCATCAAATATGCATTGTGAAGGAGAAGTCTGCGCCAGGACATAAATCTGCTAAAGATAGATTGACCCTATTGCTTTGTGATAATGCTGCTGGATTGCATACTTAAGCCTATGCTGGTGTATGATACTGAAATCTCCAGTGCTTTCAAGGGAATCTGGAAGGCATCGCTTCTAGGCGTATAAAAGTTATTGGTAGGGTGCTGTTGAGCATTTTTGAGGGCTGGTTGTGGCATCATTTTGTACTTGAGATGGAGAGATAGTGTCCCTCTAAGAATCTGCTCAAGATTTTATTAATCCTAGATAATGTTCCTGCATACCTGGATAATTTTCATCCCAACATTAAGGGTGTGGACTTGCCGCCCATTACAACGTCCATACTTGAACTCCCAAGTCCCTTTGTGCTGCAGCTTTCTCTGTTGGTGGTACTTGTGCACAGTACAGAAAGTGAGCACACTGATGCAGCAGGTAATTGGGAAGACTAAAGGAATGTCAGCCCTTATTTCAAGGAGGTTGAATTAAAATAGCAAGAGAGCATGGAAGTCTTAACGCAACAGTACAAGTTGTTAGTGAGATCATATCTGGAGTACTGAGAATTGATTTGGTCCCCTTAAGGAAAGATATCATTTCATTAGAAGCGGTTCAGTAGGATGACCCCTGATATGGAGGGATTGTCTTGTGAACAAGGCTGGCACTCTACTCGTTGGAATTTCAAAGAACGAAAGATGATCTCATTGAAACACAAGATTGTTAAGGATAAACAGACAGACTGTTTAACCTTGTGGAAGTTCTCATGAGGTGTAATGAAAAGAAGGCATTTTTAAAGCATCTTTTGCCAAGAGCCACTGAACACTCATTGGGAAAGGCACAGATTTTGCACCAGACAGTACACTGAACATCTGGATTTAGTAAATGGTAATGGCCGGAAGCATACACCGGTACTTTTAATCTGGGTGCACCTAGAGATGACTGTCTGGAACAGCAGTGGTTGCCCATGGTTTAACTATAGATGGCGTTGACTTGCTTCTGGGGCATAATTTGGCTCGAGTAAAAGTGGTAGCTTTTGAGAGTGTCATGGAAAGGCCAAGTGAGGTCAAAGAGACAGTGCATTTGCAGGAAAAGGTTCCAAGAATGTCGTCCTATAAAAGAGCATCCTATCTAGACTATAGAGAAAAAAAAAATCAATGAATAACAAAGGCAGATTCCCACCCAATTCCTCAACTGGAAGACTGTATTGATAGAGTTGGCAGGACTTGACAGAGCTGATGAATAGAACAATTAGAGTTGATAAAAGGCTAATAACAGGTTGTTTCAACACCATGATCTAGAGATATTGGCCTTTGTCACTAGACAATCTCTACCAATGCTAAATGATGCCATTTGGGCTAAAAATTGCCCCAGTTACTTTCCAGAGACTGATAAACGCAAGTGGTACTCAGTGTTCCTAACTGTGTGGTTTACCTTCATGATGATCTGGTGATACTGGAAAGTGACATTTCAAAGGGCCACTTTGCCAAAAGTGAATTTACATAAGGGCAGGTAAGCCACACAGGGCAAAGACAAGTATTGTCCAGAACAGTACAAGTATAAGCAAAAACAAAACTACATGATGGAAAAGGAAACCTTAGGATTGCAACTTACTGTTAAACATTTCGAAATGCATGCCCATCGCAACTATTAGGAGTCAATAATATATTCCGATCATAGTCTTCTGAGCTTTCATGGGAAAATTCAAAACCAGAATACCAAACTATTTTGATGAAGCTTACAATTGCAGCCCTATGACTTAAAAACTGTTCACACTGCAGGGCTATCCAATGTAATTGCTGATGTTTTATCTAGAATTTAAATTTGCTTTGAATTATCGGAGTACTAAAGATACTAAAGAATGTATGTGTACATGGATCCTAATTTTTTAAAAATTGTTTTGTTTACAGAATATAATAAAACACATTTAAAAATGGCATTTCATTTCTTGAGGGTGGACATTTTGAAGCTGTTTTATTATTGTTGTTGAGGATACATGCTTACAGGACTGTGGACAGTGGTTCATTTGAAGGGACTGTACGATATATGAACGCCATTTCAAAAGAAATGTGTCACTAAAAGAATAGAAGAATGCCTCTCATAGAAGATACTGCTTAAAAGTTACATGCCTTAACCTAACTGCTTGGACTTATTTACTGAAAATCACAAGTCTGGGTTTGTGACTTTGTTTTGGATATTGTTTAGAAGGGCATCTGTTTCTACTTTCATATTTCCAATCATGTTAAACAGCTTTACATCTTTGCCAACTAAGTCCTGTTTACACAATAAACCAAGAATTTTGTTTTTTTAAGAAATCTGTTTACATTTTCCCCAAACCTAATATAAAGTATATAATTGGTAATATTGTTAACTGGGCAGAACATTTAAATTTATGTAGCAGCTAGCAAAGTAGTGAGACAGCACGCTCCTCCAACAATGTCTAGTTCTAAAGCATCCCCCGTCCTGAACAGGGACTCAACATAAAAAATCAGCTCAGGTGTTAACGGAGAAATGTAACATGATCTTACTGAACAACTCCTCGTATTTCTTAGGTTATGTCTCATAAGATGCCAAAATCTTAAGCCTGAGTGGCCAATCAATGAGAATGTTGTTAGGACCAGAGGCTGCCATTAGTTCCTAGTCATAGTCACAGTCATATCAAACATGTGTATAAAAAGGCACGCAAACAAAAATCTCAAATTCTTCATTATGAACAGAACTGAAAGCTTTCAAAATTTGGTGTAAAAACTGTTAAAATCCAAACAAAAAGGTACGAGTTCAAAATCAATCCCTTAAAGAAATGACATACAGGTCTTGGTATTTGTGTCCACCTCTTGTAAGAACGGAGTTTATTGTTTTAAAAACAAATGACACCGTAAACATTGTCCACAAGTGCTTATGGATGTTGTGTAAATACTAATAACTCACTGCTCCACTGAAGAAAGCAGCTTCAGGAACAAAGTGATGAAAACCCACCTCCACTGATTTAATTCTGATGTTTATCAAAACCTGCTCAAGAATATTATCTTTGGAGTTATTTTACATTCATTATTAGATTGAGCCACAGATTTCACAAACTGCTTTAATTGCTATCATGCTGGTAAATTGACAAAACCAAGTAAGAGGAAGTGTAAATTTCAGAACAATTCTTGAAGGAGATTGATCTTAACCCACAAATTCCGATGGTAGGTAGGTTTTTCATATATCAGAAAACTTCATGTAAGGTGGTTCTTTTCAGCATAAATTGTTACAGCATACCACATCATAATACAGAATAAAGCTGTTTTGCAATTTTCCAATTATACTTTGGCAAGACAAGAAAAGGAGAGGATATCTAAAGCTGCCAACACATTCTCTCCCCAGTCTGCACTGAGACATCCCTTACTTGAAACAGCAGCTAATAAATTCAGGGTATTATGTTAAACACGAGGGAGTGCTTGGACTTAAACTAATGAGAACTGGACTTCAAACAAATAACATGACTTCTTGTGGTATTTTTCACAATTTTTTAAAAAGTAAATCTTCACTCCAAAAATGATAGATAGGTTTATTTTATTAGTCAGCCCAAACCCCACAAAAAATTCAAATCCAGCAGTCTCCTTTGTGTTAATTTGCCAACTGTATAGCAAGTAGCCAGGAGCAAAAGGAAGTAATAACAAGAAATTACGGCCAAGCTACAAAGAATGATTGGAGTCATTAGCACATTCCACTTGGCAGATTAAGTTGCCAGCTATCCTAATGCCAAGGCACGACCACTCTGGGGACCTGGGGAAAACAATTAAGAACCCAGGCTGCCTATCAAGCACCTGACAATATAGCAGTCATGGAGTTAAATTTAGCATAATAAAGGGTAAAGACTCAATTCAGGCACATTCTGGATCATTTTAACATCAGTAAAATCGTAGATAAAAATAACCGGTCCTTCCAGTGTAATTGAGTGGTGTAAATTTTAGTACACTCCAAATATAAAGAAGTGGTGATGTGTTCTCCCCCTATAATGTACACATTAAATTCAAACGAGAGGATGAACATCAGTAAAAAGGTGCCTATCCATTCAATAATATTACGTTTGTTTAGATGAAAATCACTTGCTAATTCTTAAAATGGGCAATAAATCAGCAAAAAGATGTTCAAATATTTTATGTCGTGTTATTTCCACATTTTTTGGTTAGCTTTGGGGAGAAGGCTGTTGGAGAGGTTTCTTTTCAATTGTTTATCCTAATAATCCTATTTAATTTTCCCTAACACTGCGTGAAGTCATAAATAGAGATGGATACCTGTTGATGGAAAAAACCATTGGTAACAGTCACAAACGTTGGAGAAATGTGGAGATTTCCATATAAAGCAATTTTATTAAACAGCAGTTGAGAATATCACCAGCAAACGTTCAGTGATTTGGCAGCAAAAGTCAAAGAACTGTTTAAGAACAAGCTCCCTGCCACAAAGTCGTCCCTGTGAATTTTAGGAACAGCAGATATTCAATATAACAGAAAATAGCCAGTGCAACTTAAAAGGCTGAGTAAAAGCATAAAATTAAATTCAGAAAGTTTGGAAGAACATAACAGATTTTAAAAGATGTCTCTTTTTTTGGATTTATAGCTTCTTCTAGATTGTCCACCAAAATTCACTCACGGGGCCTTTTGTTTTTACACCTAATGGAAAAGGCGTGCTATCACAATACCAGACAGTCGCTTTTCCTTCATCTTTTCTCTCAAGGCTGGTGGAAAAAGCTAACATGGCTATATTGCATCTCAGGAATCCATCTGTTCTAATGTTTCAGCATTAGTAATGACCATTAAAGATTATTTTATAGCTCTTTTCAGCTATATTACTTTTTGACAGAAAGTTTAAATCCAAGAATTAACAGAAAAATTATTTTCTGTAAACTGAATTTAGTATATGCAATGGATAAACTAAAGTAGCTGGACACGTGGTCATTTCAAATAAAGCTCAGAAATACTGAACTTCAAGTTACTTCAGTGAGTGTGAGTGAATCTGAAGAATAAAGAACATGCCTTGCATTATTTTAAAAAAAACATTTTTGGAAACTCCATGCTTTCATTGAGATTCTACAAGTAACTACGCCTAAACTTCAGTATTCTAAATTGCAACTGTTTAACCGAATGGCATACATTCACAAATGGCTTACTGACATATAAAAAGGTTAAACTCAAATACAGGTATTCGTTATGTCCATGACACTAGCATTAGGATAATCTAATATTGTGAACCTATGACGTTAATATCATCATTTCACTGGAAGAGAAGATCTAAAATATTTTTTAAACTTCAAAGCATTTTATCCTTTACCCCATCACCTGTTTTTCTTTCCAAATTGCTTCTTTCTGGTCCTCAAAGTACCAACTCATTTTAGGATAGGTGTCTGCAGGCTGCCGTCATGAACGTCAATCAATGAGGAATTCTTTGTGTGCAATACCAGTGAACTTGGCAACCCTGGAAAATATCACAGCTAAGCCAAATCCACCCAATCTTGAGGCAGCAATCTTGAGCAAAAGTCCTTGGTGAATATTACACCTTCTGTATCTGAGGGGTAATGTGTTATCAAATGCAAAACATGTTCCTGTATAAACTGAGACACAAGATAAATGACAATGGCCATTTGGTCAATCTTAGCCCATTCATCTAGAAAATCCTCCTGTTCACAGCTTCCAAATATCACTTTTGCATAAGTTTTCAACTTTCGATTCCTGGTCTTAAAATACTTCTCGTCAGTATTATTTTAAGTAATTGAACCAATTCATCAAGGTATTTGGGAGCGTGTTTATTTTAAATTTGATTGCTATGCAAAGGTGGGAACTTTTATAGAATGACATTCTACATTATTATATGCATATTTTTATAAAGCAATCATTAATTTTGAGTTGCCAATAAAGTACTGTATGCATAAAACCTCAAATTTATAAGGTGTATTTTCCAATGAATCTTTGTCTACCCCATAACACAAGCCACAAAATTCAATAACTCAGTCTGCAATGGCTATTAGTAATCAAAATTTTAAAATTTATTCAATTGCCCTTTTTAATGGCATCTAGCCTTATTTATTCTACTAGGTCCATATCTATTTCTGCTGTTAAGTGATCCAAAATTTAAAATTAATGTAATTTTAAAAATTATTTTTCATGGCTGGCGTTCGCTAGAACCTAGCCAACTTAAAATGCATTTCTAATCTTCTAACAGGAGATCACAGACCTGAAATATCAACTGTTTCTTGCTTCATTGATGTCAATGGACTGAATATTTCCAGGATATTCAATTTTTATTTCAGATTTCTAGCACCCCCAATATTTTGCTTCTTTGAAATATATTTCAACTGGTTTGAAAGAATCCTCTACACTTATCCAGGTAAGGACATTAGACTTCAATTTTAGAAACCATTTAACCAACAGATTCAGAACATGGTGGATAGGCAAGAAGGATAATAACTAATTGTGACTTGCATCTGTAGACTGGAGACACAAATCAAAGTTTCTTCAGATCAGCTGACCTAGTGGAATTAATCTATGATATACTAAATCTAACACTGGTCATGAGAAAAACAGAACATAATCAGCATTTTCAAGCAAATTATCTAACTGTGCAAGAAGTGTTAGTTCAACACCAAGAGGATATTTTGATTCTTTAGGATGGACCAATTGTTGGTGTATGTATTGCAGTAGTTGGTTAAACTAATGTATTCTAAACCTGAGACAAATTTCTACAGTGCTCAATTTCTACAACTATACAGGAAATTAGTGTCATGGCATTAGACAAAGCACAATATGGTGGCACTATAATCACTGGCTTAATGGACTTGAAATTAATCATTTCTGCTGGTGCAATCCAAAAGAAATGGTCCCAGGTCCTGAAATGATCAATTAACAATCCTTGTTCATTATTGAAGCATACCTTAAGTGCCCCAGCACAAGAGGAATTACAATGGTGTACCATGGCTTTGATGGATGCAAAACAAATAAGCATGCAGTAACACTGGTGCCAAGTGGTGGGAGCTTCGGAGGCTTCACCTATCCATTATCTGCACTGAAAATAGTTTAAAAAAGAAGAAACTGGAATTTCATTCTAAACATGCTTCAAACGTCTATCTGCATATTCAGTTCCTACCATAATAGCATCACACATAAAGCAAGTTGTATAGCATAGATTTTCAAAAACAAGAACTTTGAAGTTTTTTTTTTGAGGACAGGAGCGGGGTAAAGAAACAAAAAAAGAAGTTCAAAGGGAACAAGGAGGCAGACAAGAGATGTATGGATGAGAAGGAGGAGACAAAAAAGGGAAATGTGGGGCATCAGCGACTGCATCTTCTGACAAGCATTCCCCCATTTTTTATTTATTAGGCAAGGTATAATGGTCATTTCTGGGCTTTTATCAGTCACTGCATGTAAATTAGGATGGTCTCAGATGAGCAAAGTCAGAACATTATATGATTGAACCAACCTGTGTTTTATGAACATATTAAATAACCTGAAATTGTAAAAGTAGTTTTCACTTAACTGTTAATGTAACTTGGACAATTAAAATTTTAAACTTTGATTAACTGAACAGTTACATTTAGCGAAGTCTTTATGTCTTGCAATGTGACTAAAGGTAAAGTCAGAGGTAGGTTGTTATAGTTATCATGGTGACTTGTGGCTTTAAGGTATTTCAAGCAATCATTTTAAGATTAACAACCATTTTAAGATTAACAAAAACTGCATTGCTGCCCATATATGATATTTAGAAATCTAATTGGCCAAAAGATCTTCCCTCAAAAACTCTAGTTAGCCTGGGAGTTTAATTGTAATATTTCATTTTCTGATTGCTTAAAGATTTGAGTGATTGAGATCCTGACCAGAGGAATTTCCATTCTCCTGAAACCCAGTCATTGGATTGTTGTTGATAGCCATTTGATATGGTGCTGTACTATCAGCATTTGGATTGTTGCTCATGTAGGGGTGATATGATTGTTGTGGATTTGTATGGTTACTGGACAGATGCATTAACACGTTGGGTTGATTAGGAGCTGGCACTGTTGTGCCTCCTGTTGGCATTTTGAGCTCCTGTCGATTCGATTGCTGTTTTGTGTCCTCATCAGTGTCTAAGCGGGTCAGCTTTTCCATCCACATTCGGAATCTTTCCTCTGTCTGCCGCTGCATCTCAGCAAAGCAGTTCATTGCTTCCTCGAGGACATTGCCGATACAGTTCCGCTCCCATGATATCCCACTGTCCAGTAGTCCGGCCATTTGGGCGGCAGTGCCTGCAGTCCCCTCTGCACGATTGTTGGCAGCTTGAAAGACATTGAGGCCATTTGATAAGAGCGATTAGAACACACCCATTTTACCTTTCAAAGAGACAGGATCCCTTTTCAGTCAGCCTTATCAAATAATAATTCTACATAAGACTTGTATTATCGCTGTTTTAAAGAAATTTACATTCGCTTTTCTTCTACAGTGCATCGAGTCAAAATTACCCAAATTATTGACAGTAAAAATATTAGATATATTAGATGCAATACCAATTCAGAAAAATTGCAATGATCAACTGACTTTGAAAATAACTACCATTGAAAAGTAACATTTTTTCCCCATTTGCAAAAGGTTTCTTGCCCCCAGTAGGAAAAAGCCATCAACTACATCAGCGTTCCATTTAGTTCTCAAAATACCACAATTTTATGTATAACTTTAATACAAATACTATCTGGCTGAGAAAGGAAATTATTGCAGACTTATTTATATTAGTCTCTTGTAAATTGCCAAAAAGAATACAGTTCATTTACAAAAAATGAAATTTGATTAAATTGAAAGGGAAAAACATCCATAGTTTTAAGAATTTTAATAGCCATTTTTGTCAGTACTGAGAATCATCTATTTTGTTAAAACGTACATTTACACAGTGGAATTCATAGATCCAGCATAAGTTTTTTTCAAAATTTACATTACAGAGCACACCAAAAATTTAAAAACAAGAAACTTTAAAAAAGGCGGATTAAGTGTAAGAGATATACTGCAGTCATAGCATGGTCATTTTAAGTTCAGCTTCAGGGTTCCTGTAGCTCAACAGTAAACTTCTACAAGCACTGTGAAAATATGCAAAATTTACAAAACTACACTGTCCTCTATCTACCAGGAAAGGTAAACAATTTTCTGCTGTGATTTTAAAAGGTTTAAAAACTTGCTGTGAAAGGTTTAAGCAATTTTAGAAACAGGATCAAGATTCTGCCTCAAAACCAGAACAGAATTAAGAGGTTTAAGTGGTCTTAACATCAGTGGGAAGTTACCAGAAAAGCCAAAACCTTCTACCGTGCTGCTTAGGATGGAAATGTTTTCACAATTAGTGTGCTCTGTTTGCATTCCAAGTTAAATTGCTTGTATCTAGCTAGAATACTTATATTTCCATCTCTAACATGAAGTGACCAAGCCACCAATTCTATCAGCAACAAACAAAGCTTTCCATCAACAGTTACAAATCAGCAGCTAAGAAAACAAGCCTTTTTCCATTGTATTTGTATGGATGTATTTTCACTTTTTTATTGTTAACTTTTATTAATAAAATCCACATAAAGTTAATTCTCATGATGATTCATGCAAGTTAATATGGAGCGCAAGTTCCAACTTCCAACTCTGCTTCACTACCACAACATGCCAGACATAAAGAATTCTTTGTTTCATTCGAAGTTGATTTACTGTCATAATGAGCTGTTATCCTGCTAGTCACAGCACTATTTTTGCATATTTAAAGAGCAGACCTCCAGTTACATCTCCTGCACAAAATAATGTTTGTTTCTTATGCAAAAACCACCAATATGGACCCATTCACCAACAAATTAAATATGGCAACTCACAAAGAGAAATAATTTAATTGATAAACAAATTTTGAATCACACAAGAACTGGGAATGGTAACTTCAAAGGTCCTTTGTGCTAATAGATCCAGCACAGTCCAAATCCAAACAGGCTAATGAATTCAAAAAGCATGGTTCAGATCTATGCCAAGAAGAGACCTGCAACACGGATGCAAGTCCTCTACAATATATTGACTGAAGCAGCACCAGAAAAGCCAAGATTATTCTTCTTGTAGAGAAGGCAGCTAAGAGGAGTCAGATAGAAGTTTTCATGAGGGATCTAGACAGTAGAGACAGGAAAAAAATTGTCCCTGTGAGACGTGGACATCACTGGCTGGCCAACACTTATTGCACACTTCTCGCTGAGAAGGTGGTGGCAAGCTACTTCCATGAACTGCTGATGTACATGTGCTGTAAATGAACCCACAATGCCATTAAGGAGGGATTCCAGGATTTTGACCCAGTGACAGTGAACAAATGGTGATATATTTCCAGGATGTTGTCAGGATGCTGAGTGGCTTGGAGGTGAACTTGCAGGTGGTGATATTCCCATGTATCTGCTGCTCTTCCAGAGGAAAGTGGTCATGGGTGTAAAAGGTGCTGTCTAAGGATTGCTGGCAAATTCCTGCAGTGCATCTTATAGACAAGACACACTGCTACTGACAGTAGTGGAGGGAGTGGATGTTTGTTGATATGGTGCCAGTCAAGCAGGCTGCTTTTGTCCCGATTATATCAAGCCACTTGCATGTCATTGCAGCTGCACTCATCCAGGCCAGTAGAAGGTATACCATCATACTCATGACTTAAGCCTTGGAGGCTTTGGAGAGTCAGGTGGTGAGTTACTTGCTGCAGTATTCCCAACCTCCTAGCAGCTCGTGATGATAACACCATTGACTGACAAAGGGTGGTGGTTAGATTGTCTCTTATTGGAGATGGTCATTGCCAACATTTGTACAGCACCAACAACATTGCCAGTTTTCAACCCAAGCCTGGATATCATTCGAGGTCTTGTCGCATTTGAACATGGACTGCTTCACTACCTGCACAGTCACAAATGTTGCTGATAATTGTGCAACCAGTTCACATCTCCAGTTCTGACCTTATGATGGAGGGAAAGTCATTTATGAAACAGCTGAAAATGGATGGGTCTAGGACACTACCCTGTGGAACTCCTGCTAATGACACTGAGCTGAGGTGACTGACCTCCAACAATCACAATCATCTTCCTATGCGCCAGGTATGACTCCAACCAGCAAAGAATTTGCCCCCCGACTGTCATTGATTCCAGTCTTGAAAGAGCTCCTTGATGCTACCTTTACTCAAATGCTGCCTTGATTTCAAGAGCTATCACTCTCAACTCACTTCTGAAATTCAGCTCTTTTGTTCATATTTGAGCCGAGGCTGTAATGTGGTCCAGAACTGAGTGGGATTCAATCAACAAGAGATCACGTTAACCACAACTGAGAGATTTTCAGAATATGTTTTCAAAAAGTATCCTACCTTGTCTCATTTTCTAATTTTTTTTATTCATTCACAGGTGGGTGTTGCTATTGCCTATCCTTATTGCTCTTAAGATAGTTGTGAGCTACCTTCTTGAACCACTGTGATCCACATGCTGTAGGTTAGCCCACAATGCTGTTAGAGAGGGAATTATAGGTTTTAACCTAGCAACAATGAAAGAATGACGATATATTTCAAGTCAGGATAGTGAGTGGTTTGGAAGGGAACTAGTAAATGCTGCTGTTCCTTGGTATCTGCCACCCTTAACTTCGAGATGGTTTGGAAGGTGTTGTCTAAGGATCTTTGGTGAATTTCTGCAGTGCATTTTACATATAGTACACACTGCTGCTACTGAGTGTTGGTGGTGGAGGGAGTGGATGTGGTGTCAATTAAGTGGGCTACTTCATCCTGGAAAGTATCAAGCTTTGAGTGTTGTTGCAGCTGCACCCATCCAGGCATGTGGGGAGTATTCCGTCACACTCCTGACTTGTACCTTGTAGATGCTGGACAGAATTTGGGGAGTCAGGGGTTGAGTTACTCACCACAGTATTCCTAGGCTCTGACCTGCTCTTGTCGCCACTGTGTTTATGTGGGGGGTCCAGTTGAGTTTCTGGTCAACGGTAACCCCCAGGATATTGATAGTGGGGGACCAGTGATGGTAACACCATTGAATGAAGTATTGGCAAAGATCTGTAGCTCGGGGGGTGGACGAGGCTGTTGACTTGCTCGCCGAGTTGGCTTGTTTTTGTTTCAGACGTTTCGTCATCATCAGTGGAGCCTCCGATGAAGCGATGTTATTCTACTCCGTTTGGAAATTATACTGTCCGGTCTGTTATGGTGAGTACTGTCATTTCTGGTTTTGATCTGTATGGGTTTATATATGGTGTCCAATGTTATATGTTTGTTGATTGAAGTATGGGCGGAGAACCATGCCTGTAGGAATTCCCGTGCATGTCTATGTTTGGTTTGGGCTACTATGGTTACTTTGTCCCAGTTAAACTGATGGCCTCCATTGTCTGAACGTACAGATATTAAGGAGAGCTCATCGTGCCATTTTGCTGCTAGCTGATGTTCGTGTATTCTGATGGCTAGTTTCCTTCCTGTCTGTCTGATGTAACGTTTGCGGCAGTCGTTGCATAGTGTTTTGTAAACCACGTTAGTTCTGCATGTTGTGGGAATGGGGTCTTTAACACCATTGAATGTCAAGGGACGGTGGCTAGTTTGTTTCTTATTGGTGATGGTCATAGCCTAGCATTTGTGTGGCATGAATGTTACTAGCCACTTCTGAGCCTAAGCATGGACATTGTCCAAATCTTTTTGCATTTCAGTACCTGAGGATTCGTGAATGGTGTTGAACATTGTGCAATCATTGGCGAACATCCGAACTTCTGACCTTATGATGGAAGGAAGGTCATTGATGAAGCAGCTGAAGATGGTTGGGCCTAGTCACTACCCTGATGAACTCCTGCAGGGATGTCCTCGACCCGAGATGACTGACCTCCAACTACCATAACTATCTTCCTATGTGCCAGGTATGAATCCACCCAGCAAAGAGTTTGCCCCTGACACCCACTGATTCCAGTTTTGCTAGGGCTCCCTGACGCTTGATCGGGTCATATGCAGTCTTGATGTCAAGCACTGTCATTCTCACATCATCTCTGGAATTTAACTCTTTTGTCCATGTTTGAACCAATACTGTAATGAGGTCAGAAGCTGAGTGGCCCTGGCAGAACCCAAACTGGGTGCCACTGAGCAGGTTATTGCTGAGCAAGTATCACTTAATAAGTATCACTATTGATGACATCTTCCATCACTTTACTGATGATCAAGAGTGTTCTGATGGGGCAAGAATTGGCCAGGTTGAACTTGTCCTGCTTTTTCTGTACAGGACATATCTGTGCAATTTTCCACATTGTTGGGCAAATGCCAGCATTGTAACTGTACTGG